TTTTTTATCTTTATTGATTTCAGAGAGAGGAAAGGAGGGGGAGAGAGATAGAAACATAAATGATGAGAGAGTCATTGATCAGCTGCCTAGCCTGCAACCTGGGCATGTGTCCTGACCAGGAATCAAACCCCAGTCTCCTGGGTCCTAGGTCGATGCTCAACCGTTGAGCCACGCCCTGCCGGGCTATAAACCACCTCTTAAATTGCTTAGTGAACAGTTTTTCCCTTCTGAGTAGTGTTCTGCAGATTAAGAACTACCGGGGAACTGCCCAAGGAAGATATCTTTCACCATTCCATTCTATCCTTCAGGTCAGAGGGAGAATAGAACCTCACTAGAGAGTCTTCCTGGTTTCCAGCTACCAGTCCTGCAGGTGAGACCTGGATAGTCTAACTTGTCTACATATCAGAAACTCACACAGTTAGGCCTGCATACTAGATACCTCACTTTGGTCTCCTCATTCTACTCTGGTAGAGTGTAACCAGTGGGGAATGATATGGGTTTCAAGTGTGATAACCGTACGTAAACAATTTTCCATAATGGTCTCAGTTTCAAAGATTCTATCCCACTATCAGATTAGTTTCTTGCTTTGGGGTTTAAAAATTAGGTCACATACTAGTGAAAAGCTTTAAATTGAGAGGTCTTTGCGAGAGTGAGCTGTGTGTATGGACACAACTGACAGATTCCTAAGTTTCACAAATAAAGTATTCTCAATGGAATACATCTTTTGCATAGAGGTACTGCTGGAACTAGGAAAACCCATGTTTATTTCTCCTGAGATAGCTAGAATAATGTTGTATAAATTTATGGGACTGTGATTCTGATCCAGGCAACAAGGGGAAAATGGCATGGGATCGAGAAGAGGTTTGTTAAGGAGCTCTATTCAATGAAAACTCGTCTTGACTTTTAAGTTAACTTTTATGGCTTGGTTGTGAGGATATTTAAGCCCTTTCTCCATACCAAGCCTGGTGACCCCAGGGACATACTAAGGTAGGTAAATATTTTGGCCTCATATTTCAAAGTTCCCTTTATTTCACTCAGCAAGAAATTAGGGCCTACACCCTAAGAGGCAATACTGGGAAAGTAACATCCTTCTCTAAGATCCTCACAAATGGAGGGATTAACCTACAGATGAGAAGACTTGAGCCATATAAGCCATCTACAAAGATATGGGCCCTAACTGTAAAAAACCATTTGTGAAAAAGTTGAAAATTTAATACCTGTTGGACATTTGATTTTAAGGAGTTAATAGGGGTTTTTTGTAGGTATAATGCTATTGTGGTTATATTATTAAAAAAATAGTCTTATCTTTTGAAGATACATACTAAAATATTAATAGATAAGAAGTTAAATGATTATCTGAGTTTTGCTTTAGTATAATCTAGTAGAGAGGGGCAGTGAGAGTAGAAATGAAAAGTGGGCCATGAGTTCTTTGTTTAAATTGGGTGATGGGTACATGTGAGTTCATTATGCTACTCTACTTTAATGTTGTTGTTTTGAAAATTTTCATAGTAAAGTTTTTTAAAAAGTTATTGAAGAAAGTGCCACCTCCCTGGAGGCATGAGACTTTTGCCTCTCTGGTAATCATCTGTGGGTATGGTAGTATTATGTTCCAGGTCTTCCAAAAATAGTTTTATTTTCAAGTAGTCTATCTTATCACCAGAAACCACTGAAATATCAGTTTCATAAGTAGCAACAAAGCCTTTGATACACTAGATGTCTCAAATCTTAGTTTGGAAGTTAGTTATCATACAATGGAGAAAACTATGGGAAAGCAATAGTGGTGGTTTACTGTCCTGATAAATTTCATAAAATGGCTTGAGAGCGCCTTACTTGTCCTTTTGGTTATAAACACCCATATCTGCCTTTTCTCTTCTGCTGCAGACTCTCTACCAACAAAGGCAGATGGGATTAGCGAGGGGGAGAGAAGCATGGACCACTCCCAGATAGATCATCGTCAAGGTCTGATTTGTACATACAGCTGAAGGACAGATTAGCATCTGATACCCACTGGGCGTGATGGCCTTAGAAAATGTACCCCTGCTTGGTTCACTATTTTCTCTTGATCTTTACCATATACACCCTGTATCACCTCCTTGGAAAGTGGTTAGGTCTTGCATAAGGCTAGTGCTTCCAGAAGATTACATTTCTCCCACAAGACAGGTAGCTCTCTTATTTCCTACAACTTGAAACAAAAGTTATCAAAACATTTCTTGTCACCCTTGGGGGTGGGGGTAATATACTCATAACTGTGTTTTACTTCTAGATTTCATTTTTTAGTTTTGGATATATTCTCCTATTGCCAATGTTAACAAGCAACAATTCTCCCTGTCCCAATTTGATACTTTCTGTTTGCCTGTTGTTTTCTCTATGCCTGGTTATTATGAAATATGTTGATTTTCCTTTCTGTCTGATAATAGTTGGAGACAGACATTCTGCTTACTAAAAGTACATAGATAATGCAATAAAGAGGATGTCCTTTTTTGCTACTGCAACTCTGCTGGTATTACAAGCTCTAGAATGGTGGAATGGGTAAAGAACACTACCACTGAGATCAAATATTTATTCTTCTTTGGGTACTAAGGGGTAGAAATGAGGAATTACATGGGTAGGCCGTGAGCAGGCAGGCCTTAAGCAAAAATATTGAAAAAAAACTAAAGATAGCAAGCCTCTGCCAGAAATAAATTAGGTCTTGGGAATGACCTTGTAGCTGAACTAAAATCCCATTACCCTTTCTGGAACGCTAAAATTTATTTTTAAAGGCATTTCCAGGCACACCTCAACTCCTGAGCAAGAGCCTGTGCTATAGCAGGTGCAGGAAACAATCTTCCTAGTGATACTGATCTGTTGCCTTTCAAAGTTATTGTTCTTTTTTATTATTTGATTTGAGAGAAACACTGATTTGCTGTTCTACTTACTTATGCACTCATTCGTTGATTCTTGTATGTGCCCTGACTGGGGACTGAACCTGCAACCTTGGTGTAGCAGGATAATGCTCTAACCAACTGAGCTACCTGGCCAGGGCAAAGTTCTTTTAATTTACCTCAATATATCTTGCTGCTTCAAATATAAATAAAATGTATACTAAATCAGAATGTTAATGTATTTGGCTACTTAATCTCTAAACCATAGAAGTGGCAAAGTAGAGGAGAGAAACAATTTTATTTTTGGCTTTTTTATTATTCTAGCACATTGGAGCTTCCACTCTTATTTCTAGATGACATCATTATATCTGACCCCAGCTGATGAAAACCATTCTTAAACGTCAATAAATTCAGTTAAAGACCATGATCCCTCTGTCCCCAAGACAGATCCTATAAAGAGAGGGAAGTCTCTTTTCTGGATACAAATTGAACCAACACCAGAAAGATGAAAAATCAGTCTGTCAAGTTAGGAAGGAGTATCAGGCTTGTAAAACCAAACCTGAAAAACCTACTTGCAGTCCTCTGAACAGTAGAAACCATCCCCTTTCCTCTACCCTCCTGTAATCTAATTCTACTTTTTTAAAAGGACATCTCTCCTAATTCCCACCTCCAATAAATATCCAGTCTAATTTATTCTCCACCCAGTTATTAAACTTTTTCACAAGCTCCGTGGGGAAGACTTACCCTGAGACATAGTGAAGAGAATGGGGATTTTGGAAAGAGATAAAAAGGTACAAGGCAAAGTGGTCTCAGTATAGGAAAAAACATTCTGCTTCCTGTGCAATTCAATGAAATCGGTAAAACATATAGAGTTGGTATGAGGAAGAGTTGAAATATTTGTGAGACTGGGACATACTGAGATTCTTAGCTGCATTATGCATGGACTTGTGCTCAGAGGAAAGGAGAGGTGCAAGGCAGCCTTATATTCCAGGAAAAATGGTGGGACTAGGGGATGCACTGGAACCAATTCAATCAAAAATTCTTTACACCTTCTTTCCAATCCTCCTAAAGACATGGGACTAAAGTCAGGCCTCTCTGTAGTACACTAAGGGAAAACAACAGCAGATGAGAGCAAAAGCCTTTACCCAGCCCATAGTCTGGACCCAGTCCTTAGCAATCTTCATTGAGGCTTAGGCCTGATTTCTGCCCATTCAATCCCCACTTCACTTTGTGCCTTATGATCATCCTCCCTGGTCCACCCTCACAACATCCACCTTTCCCCCAGCCTCAAGAACACAACGCTTTTCAGTTCTTTGCCACAAGGTAACTTTAAAAATGTGGTTTCTTTGTTTAAACAGTTACTAAATTGGTTGTCTTTTAGTAACAGACTGCCCCTCCCATAGCCCCCATTCAGTCCTGTATGATCACATCATCATCATCATCATCATCATCATCATCGCTGTCGTCATCGTCGTCCTCCTCATCTTCATCGTCCTCTGGCAGTTCTTCCTCCTCCTCCTCTTCCTCTTCATCTAGACAAACTACCACCTCAGCTGGCTCAGGTAATCGAGAATCAAACCAATCCAGTACCTGTTGTGTGCTAAGCCTTGATGCCTCACTCAGTTGAGGGACATCACTTTCCCGTAGCTGTTGGTGGGCTGCCCAGTACCTCTCCAAGGGCTGTATATCCGGTGGAGGTGGAGGCATCGGCAGAGGTGGTGTCTCAGCCCATTCATTCAAGGAGCGGGTTGAAGGTGATGGTGTGGGAATTGCTGGATCCTGGAAACTAGGGGCACCAGGTACTGCGTTGTCCCGAAACCATTTTAGTTGCCCATGCTTCAAGGCATAGCGTGTGTCACCAAACCACTGAATAATCTCAGGCCGAGGTAAACCAGTGATCTGTTCTAATTTATGGTAGTCCTCACGCCGTGCCCATTGGCACTGTAAAAAAAACGATTTGAGGATAGCCAACTGCTCTTTGGTTTTGCGCTTTGTCTTTCGCTGGCGTTGGGTATCTGGGGAAAGGTATTCTGCAGGGCCAACCCTACCTAGTACTGAGTTAGGCCTTAGCCTCTGGGGCCAGGCTGGCTCCACATGTATGGGTAGAGCCTGTTCATTGGGTGAGAGTGGCTGCGGGAGACAGCCCAGTGGCTGGAGGGGTTTAGAGGTGACTGTGATTCCATTAGCCAGTACCTGGAAAGAGGAAGAAGAGGTAGAGGAAGAAGTTACATTACATGCTGACCCCTGCTTACAACTACTGGCAAGTAATGATATTGGTGGGGGTTTATCCCGAGTTTGTGGCTGATGGACAGCTGTGGAGCGGTTCCAGGAAGCAGTACCTAGGCCATGTGACTGTTTGGGACCCCTGCCTGCCTGTTCCTTAGAGAGGCCACTGCTTTGAGGATCCTGCCAAAATTCTGATTGGTGGGAGAATGCCCCACTGCCAGGTGCTATCAGAGACTCCTTTGTTTTCTGGTGACTCACTGGCTCTGAGGGATCGCCAGGCTCTACCTTCAATCCTTTCACCTGGGTGGGCTCACTAAGAGTCAGGGGCACTATTCCAAGACTAACTTGCTCTGGAGGTGGCACTGGAGGAGGCACCTCCTCTGGGGGCCGCCCTGCATGATGAGTAAAAGAGAGAAGGGATTTGAAATGGAGTTGATCCCTGTGATAGACCACTCGGGCTCGAGTCTCTTCTATTTCTTCAGATGACCAGCTAATGCCACAGCGGAGGCGCTGGGCCATGAACCAAGTCTTGACTTTTTCCATCTGCAGTCCATAGCGTAGGCAGAGAAGGGCAATGTCTGCCAGACTGGGATAGGGAAAGTAGCTGAAAGTTTGTAGCAGGTGTTCATTGCCATCCAGCTCACTGGTCTGTGCTGCTTGGGTCCACACAAGCTGGAGCTCCTCAGAGATTGGAGGGAGGCAGATGAGCCCCGCAGCGGAGGTATTAAGACTGCTGGCCTCTTTATTAGGAGGCATCCCGCTTTCAGATTTGTGCCCTTCAGAGATAGCTGTAAGAAGAAGAGGAACATCTCAGTCATTAGGGTTCCTCTTTTGGCCCATTACTCAATTTCTAACAAAATGTTGTACTCCAAAACAATCAACTTTCTATGTGTACTGTGCTGGTTTGCTTTTAAAATGCTCTAACAATTTCTCGTTTACTTTCATAACCCTGTGAGTCAGAGCCTGCTAAATTTCCCATTGTATGAAAAAAAAGTCCACAATTATCCCAAGTCACATGACTAGTGACTGTTTTCACCAAGATGAAAATATGTCTTTAGATGTTAGGAAGGAAAACATCCTTATAAAGCCTTTACCTTTCCAATTTGAATTTACTTCACCAAGTTCATGGAATAAGAGTCACAAAATAAAGACTCAACCACAAAAACAAGAGGAACAGTGATCTTGTTACAAATGCGTTAGCTCCTAACAATTTATTATCTCAAGAATGTGGAGATGGTTTGGAAATACAACATATGAAAATCTAGAAGGTAGGACAGCACTGTTCCTCTGCCCAATCCCAAGCCCCTTTTTCTTTCCCTTCTTGGTGATGGAGTGTTGGGGAAAGGGAGATAGATAGTACCTTTAAGCCCCAAATCCAAACCTGATAGCTTTAGTTTTTCTCTCAGTAGGATGAGATAGGTCAGATATCTGGGTCAAATGGGGCTTACCCACCCCCCACCCCCATGAGGGTAAAGAGGGGAATGTTTCCTTCCCCCAAGTCATCTTCAGAACAAAGGTTATCCCCTCCCCCCAGCCTTTGTCTCTTCCAACGGCTCGGTCTCTCTCCAGGGAGCCTAGAGAACTCCCTCAGAATTTAACAGCCCCCTTCATACAGGGCGGAAGGCCTGCCGCTCTTATCTCTTCAGGCCAGCTTTCTTCTCTGGCCCAGGTGGGAAGGTTCATAAATTGTAAGCAGGTCCTGCAAGCCACCCAGCAGCACTACTGGTCCTGGGTGTGGGGACTGCAGGAATATCCCCTCCACATGCTTCATTCCAGAAATACCTGCTCCAGTTATTCCCCAGGTTAATCTTGTTGACTGAATTTTAATTCAGTTCCCTGTGTGGGTTTTAGAGACAAATATTACTTCTAATAAGTTAAAGATGGGACAGGATTCTTATGCAAATACTACAAGATGAATTGAGAAAAATCTCCAGACTAAAAAGTTACAAGTAGAGCAGGGTAATGAGGGATTTTATATGATGATTAGAAAAGTTCAGAAGCATTTTATTATCACCATTCCCTTTAACAAGCAAAGCTTAAATGAAGCCCATGCAGATTCTAAAGGCAATATATATTGAAGAGAGCCTTATGAGGGTAAATGGAGGCAGTATGGCAAAGTGGGTAGAAGCGTGATTCTTGAATAAGGCCAATCTGCAGTTTGAACCTCAGTTCTGCCACCAGCTATGTGCTCTTGGGCAAAAGTTACTGAACTTAAATGAGCCTGTTTCCTCATGTGTAAAAATGGAGACAGTGCTGGGCATATATAAAGCTATTTTTACTGAGCAACTACTATGTGCTAGACATCACGTGTAGGCAGGGTCCAAAGCTGCTGTTAGAGGTGGAATTCTAGAGTGAAGCAAATTTGAGATTAATCGAAGCACCACCACTTCCTAGAGTGCTGCTTGTACTTGGGCAAGTTATGTAACCCTCTAAGCTTTAGAAAAAAGAGAGGTCATAACAATATCTACCTCACAAGTTTATGACTAGATGAAAAAGTGCACTTGACATTATGCCTAGAACAAGGCTCAATAAATAGCAGCTTTTATCATTACTTCAGCCTCTTTGGGTGATTCCAATATAAGGTAATGCTCCTCCTAGACAATACGGGAAGTGAGGCAAAGACTGAATCCTTTAAAATCACTGTTTAAAATCTGTTTTTTCAGAGTCCTAATAACAAGCACAAGAGGAAAATTATGTGTGATTTTATACTTCTTATATTTTGAAAGTTTGATATAATTCCAGAAAGGATTTTGCTGTTTTAAAAAAGTATGAAAACCACTGCTTTAGGAGAATTGATTCCGTAACTTGGCTATAAATCCTTTTTGATTGCCAGGGGAATTGCCAGTGTGGTAGCTCTACTTTTACCCTCCAGGTACATCCCAGACAGTTGAGTGCCCTGTGAGGAATTGCTTGCACGGTCACATCTAACCCCCAGGAATACCACCAAACCAAAGCTAGAGAATACTTTATGAATGCAACACTTGACATCTACTTAACCTTATTTGTGTCTTTTTTTTTTTTTTTTATTCACCCTCACTCCTACAATCTTGTGTCCTGCTCTTAAGGACACAGTAATACTTTGGATATGAGAAAAATGTAGCATAAGGAATAAAGCAGTCCACTATGAGGATGAAGATTGCCAGACAGGAAATAAGGCAGGCACAGCTACAAGCCTAGAAGGAAGCATTTTGCTTTCATTTATGTGGTTTGCTCAGATTCTCATAGCATCTTCTTGATACTTTAGTGTAACATGCAGTAATGCAAATACCATTTGGTATACTGTATACATCCAGTTTTCCAATTATGCAAGAGTTCCTAATACAGAATGGTGGCTTAACTTAAGCCAAAGCTGTATAGCTGGGTACTTCCCTGGAAGAATCTGGCTTTGAAATAGAAAGAAACTACAACTAGAGTGGTTCATGAGAACTATAACAAGAAGGGTAGATCCTACAGTGATCAAAACCACAAGGAAGACACTACAGTGACTTGTGCCTGCATTTGGAAAGGGAAGGGGGGGGGAGGAATCAAAGCTGCAGAAATGACTTCTACAGGCAGAGGTGACAGTGATGGTGGGATTATCAATTCTGAATAATTACTAAATTTGTATTCTTATTAAATATGCCAGATATGCCCTACAGCTACTTAAAGTCACTAATAAAAACCAGAGTCAGGATATCACCCTTCTTTCCCTTTGGGCTTTCCATATCCCTGGGCAGGTGGCAGAAAAGAATGAGCTACCTTAAGCTTCCAGGCTAGGTATTCACACAATCCTAGGAAAAAAGAGGTTTCAGCTGAGGCTTATGGTTAAAGCAGGAGACAGTTCTAGAGACTAGCTATGATCCTGCTAAATTCCCTAAATCTTTATTCAGAAAAGAAGTACTGACTGAAATGTGTTTTGATGACAGTTTTAAGGGCCTTCAAGGACTTTTAGTGATATTCAACTTAATGTGCTTCTCAACTTTTTAGATCATGACCCTCTTTTCAAATCAGATGAAAGTTATGGATACTCAGAAAGTTATGACTACTCCACCCCCAAATAAACATTCACACTTACACATTATATATATAATCTGATGGGGTTCACTGGCTGCTCAGAAGTCCAGCAGAAGAACCTCTGTTTAATGTTCTCCCAAGTTAATAAATGCAATGGTGGTAACTGCTTAAAGAGGAACAAACAGCTTGATGTGAGTGGATGGAAGACTCAAGAGAATTTAAGTAAGTGGGTATTGGTGATATTAGCTAGAGAGAGTGGGAGGGGTGTTCAACTGAGCCAGGAGCCTGGCTTCACTGACCCACTGGATTATATGACCAATATCCATAGTGCCCTGGATGCCAGAGGCTGGTAGGCTACTTGTCTAGTATGCCAAAATCATCTGCTTCCTTCAGCTGCCCTGTATACTTGGGCAGTTATGTATGATTCCAAACCTGCTTATGCCTGTTTTCTGTATTTATATAATAATGTAATTAAACATTACATAAACCTATGAAATATTAGTGTATTCAAAATGGTTGCTATGAGAGACATAATACAAAGGAGTATACATTTTAAAAACTGTTGAGTTGGGAGTAGGCAAGATAACTGTAAAAGACTTGAGGGGCAGGGGACTTTAAAAAATCGCAAAAGGATTCTGCATTCAGTTTTCTTCAAAAGTGTTCAAGTTCTCACTCTAAAGAAACCAAAACTGAAAATCATACATGATGAGAGGCAGGGGCTCCGGTATTAGATTGCACACTAGAATTGCCTGGGAAACTTAAAGCCGGGCACCCTCTAATTTTTACTTAGTCTGGACTGGGGCCCAGGCATCATTAGTTTTAAAAAGTTCTCAGGGTGCAGCCACATTTGAGATTTGCTTGTGTAGTTTATTCCAGAAAGACAATTAAGAACTCCAATCAGCAGATTTACACAAACTTGGGGACTACCCCAAAAGAGTGGTGAAAAACATACTTTTAATGACAATGCTTAGATATGTACGCATCATTTTAAAAATCCCCAACTTTAACTGGCTTATTTATTTTTCCCTTTACTGCCATCTACCTATCCTCATCATATAAAAGGACTTCACATGTATGGTGAAAAGGTAGTTTATATGATAAAGGATCTGATCTGGGGCCACCTTACTTATTATTATACAGGTCTCAGCTTCAGTCTTTCAGTTTAGAAGTCTCAGAATTGGACGCAACACCAGGAACCTCTCTGAGGACTCGGGTCCTTACTTTCCCGGTCGGTTTTCTGAGTACGGCTGGGTCAGAAGGGGCAGTTTCTCCTAAACCTTCCATTCCCAAAGGCCAATGCTCCCCAGCAGTAAGACCAGGTTGGTTTCTGTACGTGTGTTGAGGTCGCCAGGAGGTAGTCATGGGGAGGAGGGCGGTCTGGGAAGGAAACGTTTCTCCTAGCCTCCATTTCACAGGCAGTCTAGAAGGCTCCAAACTGGGTCAGAGAACAAAAAGTTGCTGCACTTGGGGCGATGAGCCCCAGGGATCAAGCGAATCTCAATCCTCCCCTCGCCAAGGGCGTCCCAATCCAGCCTTCCCCTCCTCCCTACACACCCACTCGCCCTCCCCCAGTTACAACAAGGAACCAAAAAGTCCATAGGAGAAAGGAGAGAACCCGGCGAGTTCGAAACTGGAATTCTGCCCCCCGCGCGGGGATAGGGCTCCGTAGGTCGGAGATCATAACACAGGGGCTGGGAGGGGAAGTCGGAGGGGCTGGGGATCACTCACCGCGGTCCGGCCCGGGCGGCGGCTCCCAGCCTCGCACCATGGGCCGGGGGGAAAGGGGGAGAAAGGGCAGGGGGGCCTCCGGGGTGGAAGTGGGGTTCCCGCCCGGTGCGGCCTGCTCCGAGCCCACCCGCGCGGAGGGTCGGGACCAGGAATGCCCCTCCCGCCCCCGAGAGC